TTTGGATCAAGGGTCTGGTAGGAATTTTAGAAGGGACCCCACTTTTCCCTATTTTTGGGGGTGGGTTCCCCCTTAAAATTCCTACTAGACCTAAAGGGCCTGGTACGACTTTTGGAGAAACCCCAAGTACTATTTTTGGGGGGTGTCCCTCCTAACACTTCTACCAGACCTAAAGGGTCTGGTATCAATTGGGGAGGAACTTCGTGCTTTTTTTTTTTCTCTTCTGGGGACTGTTTTTTTTCTTTTGTCTGTCACTTTACTGCAAAAAAAAAAAGCGTACATACTACAGCCAAAGAAAATTCGGATTTCGTACGAATCTAGAAACAAATTGACTTTCGGACCAGAAAAACCCGAATGAAAATTAAGCGTAACAAATTTTTTGCCGGAGCACATGTCTAATGTGAGCGACCCTTTGAACATAAGCCTTTACCTAGGAAAATGAGGCCAAGGGATGCTGGCAAAGAATGGTTAATATTAATATTAGTCTCTTGCGCGTACGCAGGGCTAACTATTTATCCAGTACAGATTGGAGAAAGGCCAATACTCGTCCCACGGCGTACGTCCAAGGATGAAACTGTAGCTGTTTACACCAGGCTAACAAGCCTTCCTGACACAATGTACACTTCCTGGGCTGCAAGACAGACCCGACTGTACTCTATCCCTCAGGACTTGGGCTTCAACAACCAAGCCGTCAAGCCAATGGCAGCAGATCTCCTGAAATACTTTGGGGAAGAGAGACCAATCCCAAGTCCAACCACTGTTGACTGAGGAAATTCTCCTGCCACACGAGTAGGCCCTGCAGGAGACCCGACTGATGAAAGCAGAGGCAAATCGCTTTTAACTCCCAAACTTTACTAAACTACCTGGATTCCCTCCGTGAGTAGGGCCCTTGCGCTGGCAACATCCCAAGAAAGATTTATGAGATCCTCTGCCAGATGAAAAAACCACCACGATAATGGAGATCCTTGCCTCAGTAGACAGACACAAGGGGTTGTCAAGAGAAAATCTGCTTGTCCCCACGCTGCCAGAATGCTCATTTGTATTGCTTTGGAATGGAACGGAGTGTAAGGAATTACCTTGAAAAAAGCAACCACCTGTTCCAAAATCCTTATCACAAATCTAACCAAGGTTTAAACCTTGGCCCGAAGGTCCCACACCTGGGACTGTAGAGTCAGCAAATTCTCCTAGGGAAGAAACATCCCGCCCTGGACAGTGTCCGGGAGAAACTCCAGGAACTCTAAACAATAGTTCAGTTAACCTCTTCGCTTTAAAACCCAACCAATTAAAATGTCTGAATAGTCCTGTCGAGTCTGTTCGGAAGGAACCTTCAAGAGAAGGTCGACCAGATAAACCACAATGCGAACATCGTGAAAATGGCGAGCGGGCAAGGATCGTAGCCAACACCCTGGTAAAAAACCAGCGGCGCTATGGACAGGCCAAAGGGCTGAAACTTCGTTTTTCAAAGCAAAATGCAAAGCAGCATTGATGAGAAGGGACAATTGGCATATGCAGGTAGGTATGCTTGATGCGAAGAAATTTCTGCAATTATAAAATGAGCAGATTCATAATGGAACTTGCACACCCACAAGAATTAGCTTAGTGACTCCAGGTCCAGCATGGGCAGTACTCTCCTATTTGGCTCGGGAGCAGAGAACAGATTGGATTTGAGACACGGGCATGTGGTTTCAAAGGCCAGATAACCGCAAAGCTGAACAAACATCCACCACTTGTACAAGCAGGGGCTCCCACTCATTGAGAGCATTTCCTGCGCCTCTGCTTTATTCAGGACTGCTAAAGTTTGACATACCCTTATAGAAGTCCCCGCTGGGTGCAGGGTAGTCCCAAGCAGGACAAAGGGAGCCTTTAACAGGTTTCCAAAGTGCTAATCCACTGGGTCCTTAAAGACCAGGATATCCTCCCCTGTAACAGAGTGAAAACTGTTGAAACAGGAATCTGGGTAAAATCGTTCTCAAGTTATACTCAGCCGGTCCTCGGAAAAACAGATGAAGTAAATTCAGGGCATGAAAAGTATACATTAGGTTATACTGATCCCATGGAGTTACCAGAGCATCCACTCCTCCTGCTAGAGGATGCAGGTACCTGGAGACAAACCAATTGTTTTTTGGTAAACCTGGATACATTCAGTGTACCCCGACTGTAATACAAGACCTGTAACACCTCCTGGCAAAGGCCCACTCCACCAGGTCCACATGCTTGCGGCTGAGGAAGTCTGCCTGCCAATATGGAGGAAAAAGCAGGAACTTGAAAATCTGCTCAGGACAGGATCTGAACCGTCCTGCCCCATTGAGACATTTGATTTCTCCCTGATGGTTGATGTATGCCACTGCAGTATCATCTGACTGAAAACAAATTGGATGACCTTCCAAAAGTATGCTCAAATGCTGCAGACAGAGCCAAATCACCCGAAGATCCAAAGTGTTGATCAAGAGACAAGACTCTTGACAAGCACCCCAACCCAACCGGCTGTCAATCTTTGTAGGGATCTTCGAGAATATGGGAATGAAGGAACTGGATTGACTTGTCCCATGATGACACAGCGAAGTAGCGGTCTGGGAAAATGGAACTGTCTCACAGGAGGCTACCATCAAGCTCAGGACACTAATGCAGAAAGTGTGGTGTTTCTCGTGTAGAAGAAAAACACTGACTGAAATGTGTCCAGAATTAGATTTGGATACTCCAAATTAAAGTAATTTCCAGTGATAATTTCTGAAAGTTTAGGATCCACCCAAACTGCTGTAACTTCTTAACAGTCAAGGTTACATTGTCCAACAGCGGGCCATACCTACAGTTCCCTCAACAGGAGGTCATCTAAGCATCCCACAATGGGGGTTCCAAAAAAGCGCAATAGCGCTAATACTTTGGTGCATACACACAGCAAATCCAGTTGCCTTGACTTATTTTTTACAGATATACTCAAGTTGGAGACTAGAGACTGAAAGTCAGGACCACAAACTACCGTGTTTCCCCGAAAATAAGACACTGTCTTATATTTTTTGTGGCTCAAAAAAACACACTAGGTCTTATTTTCTCAATGAGGAAGTGGAGAAACAAAAACCATGTTAAAACAGTCAGAGAAGGAGGATTTATCAGTGTTTTCCTAGGCTTCCTCAACTGAGGAAAGTAGGTGCTCTTTCAGTCAGTAACCTCCTAAATAAACAGCATCTAGAAACAATCCGAAGGGACATAGCCACTCCAAGTTGTAGAACAAAAGCATCTAAACATATAATGAAAAATTATAAAAACTGCAATTTTTGAAGACCCCTGACAGGACGACACTGGGGAATGGAGGTTTTTCTTAGAATTTACCTTTAAGTCCTAGAGACAGCACAAGTACTATCCCCAACACTAATTAGCAACATCCTTTTTCTTTGTGGATATATTTCTTTCTTCTTGACCATACAGCGCCATCAAATAACCGCCTCCAGGATATGAAGAAAAATTAATTTCCCAAGGGCAAATTATCTCAAGTCTCCTGCCTTCAAGAAATGATGGAAAAATTATTCAAAAATGATCCTTTTTCTTTAGCAAATAAAACCCCCCCACAATGATCATTGTAAAAAGCAAACAAAAAAAAACCCAAAACAAAAAAAGCTTCACGCTCAGCTTTCCCTTGAAAAAACTACAAGAAATATTGATACACATTGATAAACTCCTGTTCACATTATACACAAGGCATTGTTGTCTGACAATTTATTAGTATAATGTATGTCATCATAGCAAATGTAACATATGCTAGAGCAAGGATTTATTCTCTAAGGATTTATTCTCTGATGTTTTATAATGACTGTAGCAATGCTTTTCTTATAGCTAGAGGCCGTACATGTATAATTATGTAAATACCAGGGCTGGACATGGTCAAGCTGGATGATAAAGTGTATGATCCGATATCTTCACGCTCGCACTTCCAACACTGAGTGAAAGCGGCCAGCAGCTGCCTGTGGACTGTTCATCTCAATGAAGAGCAGAGATTACCAAAAAGCATGCCAGTATAGGTCTGTTGATCTGAAACAGAGTACAAAACACTGCATTCCAAGTCAGAAGATCCGCAATGCATGGAGGTATTCGCTGTCAAAAGTCAGCACAACAGTGCAGGTGTAAAGATTTAGGATCTACAGGGGCCCTAACAAGCCAATAGCAAAAAGGCAACACTGCTATTCCATTACTTAGTTTCCACCACCAGATTAGATTTTAGTGAAGATACCTCCTGGAATCTATGGTCTATGAACCATTCACGTTCAAAGACACCACCTCAAACCAGCAAAATGGTAAAATATACAGAGGGTCTCTTGATGATTATGGTAGTAAACTAAAGGAGATTTTAAATGTAATAGTGTACCCCTGCTTGATATTCCTTCATGTAGTAACACAAAGGGCTTTTTCCTATATTTTCATAGTGAGCAACAACAGGACACCATCCCAATGGTGAATATATTGGCTCTGCAGACTAATCATGTATAGGGCAAAGCAAGCCCTTTCACAATCCAATTTGATAAGCATTTCTGTATGAGTAGCAAAGGTACCTTCCAGATTGTTACCAACTTAGGAGTAGAATGGATGGGACAGATAAATCTGGCTGTACAATGTCAATAGATAGATAGATAGATAGATAGATAGATAGGTCTCTCAGTGTCTTTACAATTCTGTAATTCAGCATAGCTTGACACAGGCCAGGCAGGTGAATTACAAGATCAGGTCTACATCTGAACAGAAGAGCCCCGTTATCACATACAAATTGGGAAACTCAGACTTGGCAAAACTGTATGGGAGGGGTGCAGCATTCCACCCATGGTTCTGCTACATGGATAGGTATTAAGTAGGGGGCTACCATTAACATTTAAGTGGAAAATACCTCTTTGTACTGGTCACATTTCTAAGACTTGTTGAAATCAAAACTTATTACAATAAAAAGGTACAAAAAAAACTTTAAATTATATGAGTCTCCCCACAAACCCCCTCCCCCCCCCCCCCCAAAAAAAAAAAAAAAAGGGGAGCTGTACAAAAGCTGAACCAGATTAAAGAATCCTTTCCACAGTGAACAGGACACTACAGAGGATGAAATCACAGTTCATAAAACTCAAGGAATCTTCTCACACAGAGAAGGGAGTCACTCTCTTTGTTCCATCTTCACTTTCGGTGGTTTTAAAAATGTCCGTGCCTTCTTTTCCTTTTTTTTGGTCTTTGTATGTGCTTGAAAATTTCTCCAGCTGTCAACACGCCCATCTCGGCTTTCCTGGAGAAAAAAAAAAAAGTTGATTATAAAATCAAGATTGATGTTAAAACAGCAGAGACATATCAACACGTTCATAAGGAACCAGAGTGTATAGTTGTGTTAATAAGTTTACATAAAGTTGCCTTTTGACAATGACAATGACTTTTGACAATGTTAGCCATTTTTGCTGCACTAATGCCATAAACAGCACCTTCTGGAACAAAATCATTTGGAGTGATAAGACCATAACTGAAATTTTACAGGAGGTTAATCTAACAGCACTGAAAACATTTTCAAAATTGATAGCAAGATAATGACAGCATATTTCATTTCATTCTCACACACCCTCTTATCAGCTGCTGTGCTACACTTCATTTCTACAATTTTTTTTGTTCGAATGAGATACACACACCTCTTTCTTTCCTGTATACACACACCCTATCCAATCCACATGAATGAGAACTTATGACTATATTGGTATTATGCCCATCATGTGTCAATGTCCCCAATTGGTGTAGTCATGCAACTGCTATGATATCCCACCACCTACAAATGACGATTCTCTGCTGGATGACTTCAAAAAAGTGCATTCGCAACTTAAGTGTCCAATTGTGCAGCACACCACATTTGCTGCCCTTAGGTACAAACATGAAATGTTTTCCAACCTAAATAAAAAAGTATGGTCAAGGTACGCTTTGTACAGTAGTCTGTTGTTCTGCAGCCTCACCCCTTCCAATACCTCAGTTTTTAATTCACAAAATCATTCAAAAAGGCAAATGAAGAGACTACCATAGTGTAAAACTGCTATCCACGTTATTCAAAATAGGAATCATTTAAACCACTCATATGTGCCTCTGCTTCATAAGATCTGGGTGGCTAGTGTACATTGCCAGTCTGACCCTCGTTGTCTTGTACATCCTGGTTTGTGTGACGAAGCCATTAATATCTGCCAACTCAACAAGCCTCACCACAAGACCTCCCCAGGAGTGAAGCATGGTTGGTCAACATTGCATGGGAAGGATGTATCCCTAAGTAGAGCACATTTGGTGTGTAGTACAAGTGCTCGTGAAAATGCCCAGTAGTATCGGTGTATTCCTAATATTATGCTGCTTAAAAGAGAACTATGGGGTAAGTGTTTTTCCCATAGTTCTAACTATGAGGATGAGTGGAAAACACTCACCACATTAGTTCTCCTTTAAGGGTGCTGGTTGCTTGAAAGCCAGATAATGGGGAGTACACACACACACCCTTTATTAGGTATACCTCTTCAACTGCTCGTTAACACAAATATATCAGCCAATCACATGGCAGTAACTCAATACATTTAGGCATGTAGACATGGTCAAGATAGTCTGCTGAAGTTCTAACCGAGCATCAGAATGGGGAAGAAAGGTGATTTAAGTGACTTTGAGCATGGCATGATTGTTGGTGCCAGACGGGCTGGTTTGAGTATTTCAGCAACTACTGATCTACTGGGATTTTCACACACATCCATTTCTCGGGTTTACAGAGAGTTGTCCAAAAGAGAAGATATCCAGTGAGCAGCAGCTCTCTGTTCAAAAATGCCTTGTTGATGTCATAGGTCAGAGTAGAATGGCCAGACTGGTTCAAGCTGATAGAAACTAGGGTTGCAACAACTAAATCGACATTATCCATTATAATCGATTATTGAAAAAGTCCTCAACTTTTTCAATAATCGATTAATCGGCTTCCGATCAGTTGGCATACTTGTGGAAGAATGGTAAAACATTCCTATAGACACACTCCTAAACCTTGTGGACGCCTTCCCAGAAGAGTTGAAGCTGTTATAGATGCAGAGTGTGGGCCAACTCAATAATGAACCCTACGGACTAAGACTGGGATGCCATTAAAGTTCATGTGCGTGTAAAGGCAGGCGTACCAACACTTTTGGCAATATAGTGTATGTCTGGGTTGTGGGGTAAAGTGGCAAGACTGAAGCCTTTTCTTACAAAGAAAAAAAATCCAAGCCTGGCTAAATTTTACAAAAACCTACCAAAAAATGTGTTATGGTGCTATGAGACCAAGACTGACATTTTTGGCCATAATTCCAAAAAGTATTTTTGGTGCAAAAATTACACTGTGCATCACCAAAAACACTATAGCGACAGTGAAGCATGGCGGTGGCAGAATTATGCTTTAAGCCCCGTTCACATTGAGAGATTTATCGCACGGTAATTCCCGCAATATCGCGGCAAATTACCGCGCGTTATCGCGCTCCAATGCATTTCAATGGGGCAAAGGGTCCTGCTGTCGCGGGTCGTGTGTCGCTAGAGCGGATTTAGCCGCGATTCAAGCTTGCTCAATGCAAGCTTGAATGCGATATTGTGCAGCAAATCTCGCGATATCGCGCAATATGCAAATCGCGCGACAAACGCACGATTTGCATATCGCGCAGTGGGAACGGGGCTTTAGGGTTGTTTTTCTTCTGTTGGAACTGGTGCTATAATGGTGGATGGATTTATGAACAGTTCAAAATATCAAGTCAATTCAGGCACAAAATCTTTAGGCCTCTGTTAAAAAGCTGAAGAGGAATTTCACCTTTCAGCACAACAACAACAACAACAACAACAACAACGACCCAGAGCCTACTGACAAATTAACAAAAAAATGGCTTTACCAGAAGATGATCAAAGCTTTGAAATGGCCCAACCAGAGCCTGGACCTGAATCCAATTGAAAATCTGTGGGGTGACATTAAGAGGGCCGTACACAGGAGATGTCCATGCAATCTGACAGATTTGGATTGCTTTTACAAGGAAGAGTGGGCAAATATTTCCAAGGCAAGAAGTATTATGCCGACTACTATCCCCAAAATTAGGGATGTCCCGATACCGATACTAGCATCGGAATCGGGCCCGATACAGGGCATTTTGACAAGTACTTGTAAAAAATGCCCCGATACATAGCACCGAAGCTTGTGCTATGTTTTTTTTTTCCCTTACCTCGCCGAGCGTCGTGTACCAAAATAATGCACACATAAATCAAAAGGTGCTTCCACAGAGTATAAAGGATGTGCATATTTTTGCAGCCATGTTATTGCAAGTTTTTTTAATCCCCCCCTTTAAATATTTGTTTTTAATTGCACAGATTATAGGTTACAATAAAGGTGAAATGATTGATCTTGGTCTGATCTTGGTCTGGTTTTTCACATCTAAAAACATGACAAACATGCAATTCATGTTCATCAAAGTTTACAAAACCTGGGTGCTGAAAAAAAAAGGGGGCAGCTTTAAACATATGAGAAAAAAAAAAAGGTCCTTATTCACAACTATTACAAAAGAATGAGAAGAAAATTTATGAAAACTGGAGCAGACAAAATCTGGAGCAGCTTGGCACAGCAACCAATCAGCTTTGCTCTTTAATTTTCAAATCTTAACTGAGCAAACTGAAGAGAGAAGCAGATTGGTTGCCATGGGCAACTGCTAGGTTTTGTCTGCTCCAGTTTTGATCAATTCCACTCTGAAAACAGTCATTGAGGCTAAAGAGGGCAATACACAATAATAAAAACTAGGTATGCACCGATACTGGTTTTTCGATATCTAGTACCGATATTTATCTTTCCGTACACGCCGATACAGAGTACCGATACTTTTGCTAGCATGGCGCCGACTTCCCAGCCAATCAAGAAGCCGTGCAGCGTGTCATTACCCACCACCGTTCTTCTTGATTGCCCAAGAAGCCGGCTTAATGCAGTTTGGCATAAAGCCAATTAGCATCAAGCCAACCAAACAGCAAGGGGCTGGCTTCCCGGCCAATCAGGCGCCAGCTTATCGTCCCTCACATGATTAAAAGAGGATCGCTCAGTTCTCGATCTATAGAGCTGACATGCGACAGGTATCGACATGCTAGGTATTTCAGCTTTCATACAAACACTAAAAAAAATTTGACATCTTTTAAGATATTTTGTCACTGGGTAATTTTTTGTGACAAACTTTCAAAGGGTCTATTTTTAAAGATTTGCACAGCTATTCATCCATCCACATTTGTTCTGTGCGAATAACCAAATAAGGGGGAGAAAAAACAAAATATTCTTAGTGAGTTTTGACTGGTTCATCAGTTATTGATGTGGCAGTTTGTGACTGGCTATGGTGGGGATTTAATCCCTTAGTGACGGGAGACTTACACTGTACGTCCCCGCCACTAAGTGCACAAATGACTAATCGCATACACTGTACGTGATCAGCTATTGGGGGCTCTGTAATGCTGGTAACCGTTGAGAATCAGCGGTTACCGTTCATTGAGGCATCCATTAATGAAAGGAGTTAAGCTTTTTCAGACACCCAATCCCTTTCAGGAATCAGGTGTCTGACAGTGAGAGCAGAATCAGAACATATTCAGAATAAGAACATTCGATCAGAGGACATGATTTGATTTTGCCCAATTTTCACAACAGCGGGTTAACACAGAACAAATGTACATAGAGGTTTCGCTGGAATAGCTATGCGGTCTTTATAGAAAGACCTTTAACCTCTTGCCGTCCGCCCGTAGTAAAAAAACGGACGGACGGCACTGCTACATCTGCGGGTTGCCGTCTCCAGACGGCAATTTTTTTCTGCTCGCGCGCGCCCCCTAGGGAGCGTATGTGTAGGGAAGCTGCTAAATACATAAGCAATTTAGCCTAGTCAAGACATTTTCCTTTCATTGTAACAGAAAAGTGAGCTCAGAACCTGGCTCTGTTGCCTGACAGGAGTGTCTGAACAGGCTAAACAAAACAAAAAAAAAATAATTACATATTTTAATTATGAACTTAGCTTTCACATTAAACCAAACTATAAAAAAAAAAAAAAGACAAAAAAAAAAGCTGTTCATATTCCTCTAGATAGAACTGTACCTCAAAATTTCTCTGCCATTCTCTGTCCCGTTTGGCTTTTTCTTCAGCTTCTATTTCTCCTTCTCTTTGCCTTTTCCTGGGAGAAAACATGAACTACTCATGTAATCACTGAATAACTCATACTTATAAAAATAAAACTACCCATTTTCATATACAGATATTTTAATATGAACTTTTGAAGCTAAAAGCTTGATACATAGATTTTAACTATTTTTCTGAAGTCTATTGAGGAATACAGGAAGTCAACAACTGTCAGCTTACACTGTTGCCTGGCAAAAGGGAATTGTGCATTGGCAAACCAAAAAAAAAGGCCAGCAGAACTAACCCCTCCTCCCAGAATGCCTCAGTTTTGGAACACTCTGAATTTTGCACCTGTGACAGAGGGTCCAGGAAGACCTCCAGGTGTAGGGGCCATGTGCCAGGGTCAAGCCCCGGCCAACTTAGGAAGTCTGCCTGCTAATTGGCCATGCCTGGACTGTAAACAGTGAACATAGCTGCAACATGAAGTACTGCCCAGGACAGGATACACTCCACCTCTCTTGCCACAGCAGACCTCCTGTTCCTCCCCGATAGTTGATGTACGGCAATGTCATAGCGGTGTCTCTCTGAATCCAATTGAATCCGGTCTATTGGTCCAGCGCTACAGGGACAGCCAAATTGGCCAAAGTTTCAGGGTGTTGATCAGGAAACAAGATTCCGGAAATGTACACTGACGGAGTGTCCAGGAATCTTTCCCTTTGACAGGCTGGCATCCTATGTGAGGAGCTTCAAAAAGACAGGGAGAGAGAAGTTTCACAACTCCAGACACAGATTCCTGAGCCACCTGGTCGTTGTCAGACAAAACGCTCCGTCTAAGGACTGGATTTATTTACTTGGCCAATGACAACAGAATGTGGTGTAGTAGGGGGTTTGGAGTAAGACTGAACAAATGGAACTGCCTTGAAGGAGGCTGCCATCAGCTTCAGGACTCACTGAGGCTAGAACAGGGGCCAGCACCTTGGTAATCAACACCCAAAAGACAGAAGATGGGCCAAACATCAGGGACATAAACTGTAAATGCAGAGAACCTACAGTAAAGGATAGAAATCAGAATAGAAAGTCTCCCTGGTAAAGGGAAGTGATGACAGTCCTGGTGGATTCTATATAGAACCTCTGTGCTCGAACAAAGGCACTTAGAGCTTACAAGATTAAAGACAGGACGAATGCCCCCTTTTGGTTTGTGAATTTTTTTTTTTAACATGATATGCACATATATATGTATATATGCGAGATAGGGACCTTAGATTGTAAGCTCCTTGAGGGCAGGCACTGATGTGAATGTGCAACTATGTAGAATTGTCGGCGCTATATAAATACAAATATGTAATAAATAGGTGTTTGTTTCAATGTTGTATATCCAAAATGATTTGATCACGCTTATTTAAAATATTGTAGCCCCCTCCTGGGGAAGCTGTATTGAAGCTGGGAAACAATGAATGCTACTTTATCAATCAACCCTTCCTGAATGCATTGTGATCAAAAGGATCATTTTGCATGACTTAAGGAACTGTAATGGTATTCACTTTAAGGAAATTGCATACAAATGGCAGGGAAGTTTTGAGAAGTATGGGGCTACAAAACTGTTCTGTATACGTTTCTGTAAAGGTTTATACAACAATAAGTTGATGTCCAATTTGATTTTTCATGAAGCTGAATAAACACTGTGAATTAAATATATGTGTGTGTGTGTGTGTGTGTGTGTGCAATGAGATTAAGGAGCCTTAAAAAGGCGGAAATGACCAATTTGTTGTTGTTAGTATATATAACTGGGATGTGGTACCCTCAATACTAAAACCACTAAAGATGCATAGATATTGAATCACAGAATTAGCCAGACTCCTATCCCTCAGGACCTGGGCTTCAACAGCCAAGCTATCAAATCCAGTGACTGAGAAGTAGGATGGAACTCCAGACCTTGAGACAGCAGGTCTGGACAGTCAGGAAGCGGCTATGATCTGCCAGCATGTGAAGGATGTCTGTATACCACACTCTTCTGGCTCAGGTGGGAGCCATGAGGATCACTGGAATTCCCTCTGCCTCAATCATGTGGAGCAAACGAGGAAGAATCTTACAGCGAACAGGGCTGGGAAATGAAGTTCCGCCAGAGCCAAGATCAGGTCTACTTTTGAACTGCACGTCTACTGGATCCTCCTTGATGGGTTATGTACACTAAGGCCATGGCGTTGTCAGGCTAGACTTTCATTGGTTGCCCTTGCAGAAGACACACCCAGTGCCCCAGGGAGAGTTCAACTGCTTTCAGTTCCAGAACACTGACAGTGTGGCTTCCCTTGCTAGGGACTAGACTGAATTTTCTCTGGGGGGTGGGGGAAAAGAAATAGCCAGGCCTGGTTGAAATCCAAGAACAGACCCAGGTATTCTAGGCAGTGAGTGGGGGACAAGCATATTCCTCCATATGTGAAGTACCCCTTGAGAAACGCTGTAGTGTTTGAACTGTGCTGTGGATGTCAGACCTCAGGACTTGTTCGGACCAGGCTTTCAGTAGAAGGCTGTCCAAATATCTCACTACATGGACACCCTAAAAAGGCAACTGTGTAAGAACAGGAACTAATACTTTTGTGGACACCTGTGGGGCTGTAGAAATGCCAAAGAGAACTGCCACAAATCAAAAGTGCTCTACCCCGCCACCCACGATAAAAAGCAAAAGGCTGGGATGTGAGAAAAATGTTGGCACAAGTAGGTAAACATTCCTAATGTCCACTGAAGTAAAATATCCGTAGTGAAGGGAGGCGATGACTGATCTTGCTGAATCAATGTGGAACTTTCAGACCCACAGAAACTTGTTGAGAGACTCCAAGCCTAGAATGGGATGCAACCCTCAGATCGGCTTTGGAACTGTGAAGAGGTTGGAGCAAAAACCTTGGAACCTTCCCCCCTGCAGAAAATGGACAATGACTCCTGGTGTGAATAATTGCTGCAAGGCAGTCTGCAGAGCCCCTCTAGGGAGAATGGAGAGCATAAACAGAGGAGGAGGGTAGGATAAATGCTGTAACTTGTAATCCCAGCAGACTATGGAGAGTACCCACAGATCCTGAACATTGTGACTCCAGATGGCCACAAAGGCATGCAGACCCCCCATCCTACCAAATTATATGTACAACTGAAGCAAGAGCTGCAAAATGTAAACATTTTAATGAACACCAAAATAGGCTGTCATGGTAGTTACATTATTGGAAGCCACAGTGAATGCTTACCGATTATTAGTCTGAGACAAGGCAGCCACCTTAAATTTTGTTTTAAAACATGGGTAATCAAACCTGTGAATGTTAACCTACACACTGCAGTCACCTATAAGTTAAGAGATGATTGTGTTCCTCTAAGTAACTTATCACTGCAGGTAGTACTAACCTTTCATGCATGTCCTTTGTTTCTCTCTCTTTCCTCTTAATTTCCAGTTCTGCAAACAGCTTCATGGTTTGTTTGTATACAGCCTGTTTAAACTTCAAAAGACAAAACATCCATTTACCAATTAGACATGCAATTTTCAACCCAATTTTATCATGGCAGATATGCATTTCACAACGGTTTCAACAAAATGTACACTTGAGCAACTCCTAGCACATCTCTCCAATGAGTAAGGGTAAGGGTTAAAGGAGAAGTACTGTTAAATAGTAGTTGTGTTGTGGACCATTCCATTCTCCAAGAATGAAAACAGCACACTTCCATAAGACCCCGCATCAGCTGATTCAAAAAGTAATCCTTTCCCCAAAAACATGGAAACCCAGCAGTGCTGTTCCCGATATGACAATTATAAACTTCTAGTTAAAATTTGTCAGCTAAGCTCACACTACCACTCCTCCTTTATGCCGACTACTGCCATGAACAAATTGGTGACTACTGATTCCTGCAGGAAGGGAAGAGGTATCTGATGTGCAAGCTGTGACAGCCAGCTTGGCTTTACCTTCATTACCTGTGAACACAATGAGTGGAATTTATCAAAGTTGGAGCAGACAATCTGTTGCCCATGGCAACCAATCAGCATCTCTTTATAGTTTGTTCAGGTAAGTTTGAAAAATGAGACAGAGAAGCTGATTGGTTGCAGTGCAAATCTGATCAAGAATTTGTTTGCTCCAGTTTTGATAAATTCCTCCCAATATAGTTACGTTTTTGTCCATATATTAGAAGTTGATAAGGGTTGCTTTAAAATGAAACCCGTTTCCTTCTTAGGCTGGGCACACACCTTACAACCATCGCAAGACTTCTGTCTTGCGATGGTTGTAAGGTACTTAAAAAAACGTACGATCTGCCTATGTTGCATAGGCAGATCGTACTTGCGATGATCGCAAGCCACGCCCCCTAAAGGGCGGGCTTCCGATGACCGCAATGCCGAACGGGCAGTGTGCGCTTGCGCACACCGGCCCGTGCGGCTGTTATCGTACGGACATGCCACAAACCCGCCGAACATCGTACGATGCTCGGCGGGTTTTCGAACATGTCCGTAAGTTTAAAGTCGTGCGACCTTACAGTAGTAGAGGTCGCACGGCTTCCACACACCTTACGATCATCGTACGATCGCGGGATTTCCCGCGATTCTCGTACGATAATCATAAGGTGTGTGGGGACTCTTACTCTTCTTCCCTTACACTCCCACAATTTTCTCCCATTCTTCTCCTCCCTACCCTCTCCTCCTTTAACATTCGATCCTTGTAAGTGGCACAGTGAACTATGTGCTTCTCTTGGTGCTACATTACTGTACATCCCTTTTTCAATACTTTATTCACTCCTGTTTCATGATATACGCTCCTTTTTTTTAAATTTTTTTATATAAGGCAATGTATCTTTTAGTTTCTGTTTGTACCATATAATGTGCCTCTGTACTCAGTTATATTGTTGAGCACTTTGTTATTCTTTCAAACTTGAATAGAGACTTAATGAAATTTAACCTCTTGCCGTCCGCCCGTAGTAAAAAAAAAAAAACGGACGGACGGCACTGCTGCACCGCTTTTTCCCCCACCCCCCTGACCCCTCACCTAGATTCCCGGGATCCGCTGCCCCATCTTGGATCCCGGGACCGGCTCCGAGGGCGTCAGGAGGAGGAGGAGGACGGGAGATCAGCTCCTTGCTGATCTCCGTCCGGGCTGTGAATGCAGAAGTGATGTGTATTACATCACTTCCGCATTCACCTGACAATTGCCTTGTTGTCAAGCTCATATCCTGCTATCAACCCTTTTGTCAGTAGCCCCGAACAAGTGTGGGGATTAGAAATTCTGGCTTCACTTGCTTCATGCTTGTTCCAGGTCAGTGGTTTAAAGTATTAAAATATTATCCAGACAACTGGTACTATCAAAAGGTTATCAGTCATTAGCATTCATTTTGCAGGGGCTTTTTCCTTGGTTATTGCAGAAAACCAAAACAATGTGCCAAGTAGTTGATCAGAGCCTTGATTCTTATGACTGCCACCTACTGGCATGTAAAGTATCAGTTTAAGTGCATTAGCATTTTTTTTTTTAAGCAAATGGTATACCAAGAGCCAGTGGCGTAACCAGAGTTCTGGGCGCCTGGGGCAGAAATTTTTTTTCGCCCCCCCCATTATATAAACAACCACTGGAACTGTACCCTGCACCTCCCCTCCACACACACGTTTTTATTTTCATTTTTCAAATTTTAATATTTTATTTTTTTTGAAACTTTCATTTTTTTAACAATGGCTTCTTCCTGGCCTCTTTCTAAATGCTGCCGTGACTCTGGGTAAGGTATGTGTGACCAACTGATAAAACAGCTGCAGTATTGGTTAAATAATACATGGCCCTACTCTGTCACCCGCAATAGCCTACGGGAACCTTCAATTACGATACAGATAAAAGGTTTTCAAAACAGACTGACTGTTAAAGTGAGAGGATAATAGAATTTGTGAAGAATAAGATCTTTAAGCTAAACCCTGCAGTTATGCATGAATGCAGATTGGCAAAGCTCAAGAATTTTTTTGCTCACCATGCCAGCCTCCCTAAAAGCCAGCAAGACAGCCTATGCAAAAGTGATGTGCTAATAGACATGTGGAAGGTGGGAGAAAGCAGGCCATCTTCAACATTACTAGGAAGATGGAGATTTCATCAGTGTGGAAGCTCCGTAAGGCTCCATTCACACCTAGGCGACACCTATTAGGCATGTTGTACGAGCAGTTTTTGTACCCATATATTAAGTCGCACATTTGGGAGATTTTGGTACATTCATGTGAAGGGGCAAAAACTCGCCAAAAAAACCCACAATGCGCATTTTCTATTGAGTTTATGGGACAAAACATGCTAAAATTTGCCCCAAAGTAGCTCGTGTACCATTTCGAGCAACAGGCATTTTTCTGCTTGCGACAAGACTCACAGGTGTGAAGTGGGGCCATAGAAATGAAAGGGATTCCTTGGGTGGAGTGTTTTGTCGCGCTGAACCAGCTGCGACAAAACGCATAGGTGCGGATGGAGCCTTAGTGCTCCTCCATGACCCAGACTCCGTTCTAGCTATTCACAATTCCAAGCCAAAGCCAGACAGACTGCGTTTTTAGCAAATTAAACAGTAAATGGGTGAAGAGAGGCACTATTAAGAAGTGTAATCATTTGACTTTGTAACGTAATAATGAGTGTTTGGAAAGCTGCTTTTAGAAATATAAAATTATTTCTTGTGTGTCGGTAATTAAATGAGAAGTAACAAGGCACAGCTCAAGTGGCTTTGCCTAGACAAATTTAATTTATACTATTTCAGCCCTAGCAAAATTGGAAACAAGCACACTATTTATACTAATCAATTTAATATAGCCTGCTACTTACAACTTCAGGGTCATCTTCATCAACCACTACTGATTTCCCTTCTTTTTTCAATTGTTTCTTCTTCTCTTTTACCTAAACAAAAAACAGACATACGGAGTACTCATCATTCTCAAATTTAGCCTTTTTTTTTAACAAGAATATAAATCATAGTAAGTTTGCAAGTTTTGGAAATTATGTAAATTTCAATAACTATAAATCAGTCTATACAATGTAGCTGCTCCACACCAAAACACAGAATACTATAGCTAAACCTTTTTTTGGCTATAGTTCTCTTTTGGGTCACGAGCGCAATTACTACTATACTCCTGTGGCCAAAAAGTTAGCATATAGCGAGCTACTGCTATATGCTGACAGCGCAGAGCCGCCGGGAAAGATCCTGATAATATTCAGGAATTCAGGATCTCCAGAGCCAGCTGTGTCCACCCCCTCCCGTCTGTCCCTCCAATAAGAGGAACAGGAATAATAAGGGACAGAGGGGAAGGGGGAATCCACACGGGGACGGACAGTCACCTCTCTCTGCAGGGAGAAGCTGTCAGCAGTTTGTGATCACGCAGCTATTGGGAAGCATATACTTTACTCTCCCAATATTTCTTCTTTAACATGGACCTTGCGCTATAAAAAGCAATGTCTGCTTCTAGTCATCCCTCCACCTAACCCTATGACACAACTCTGCAGGATAAAAAAAAGCAAAAGCTACCTTACCCTGGCTGCTGTTCACGTTGACTAAGCAAGGGTGATGCCACAATCCTTCTTACAAGATCCCGGAAAATGCTTAGCATCTCAAATCTCAAGAGATGATGCTCCAGAATAGTGCAAGATGGTCGTCTTCTGGGGTACTCCGCATTCCCTGGGATCTTTCCGAAGGAGGGTGACATTTCTCCTGCAGAACAGAAGCTGGGATATGGTAAGTATATAACTATCTTCACAGGTTTTCTTTAAAAAGACAACCAGATACTCCAGACGTGATCACAAGGGACAAATGCAGCAAGAAATGTTACTATTTTTGCCCTGTGACCTAATGGCATCACAAATGCATTTTGGCAATTTCCTTTCTACACTAAAAAAAAAATATATAATTCTAGGACAATAAAATATGAAAAAAAAAACTAGCTTGTTTAGCATATACAGCAACAAATATGGCAAAAACTCTATGAATTAAAAATGATACCTACAACTTCTATGGGACCTCTTTCGGGTAACCCGTTATTAAATGAGGATTACTTACAATGTGTTCAACATATTCAAGGCCAGCCTGAATCACATCAAGTGCCCGCTTCTTCTGCTCACCCTCCAGCAACAGTTTGTATGCCTTGTCCACCGCTGCAGCAAACACAGACAAGTCAAATAACACTGCATGGACATTCACAAAGTATATTTTCCAACACAGTAATTAAAAGGATAGAAGATAAAATACAGAGAAAAATAAGCGTGGCTGTCAGACTATAAGAATACAGAAAATGAAGCAATATGTGCCAGCTTAAAAAACAAAAATAAAATATTCACATTTTCTATATTAAAAAACTTCAGCCTACCTCTATTACTTCTCATACAATTCATAAGAATTTCATAAAGGTAATGCAACATGTATACCCTCTGTGTATCATAATCTTATTTTACATTCTACATACAAGAAATATTAAATCAAAAAAGCAGCTTTTAAAATCAGTAAATCTATAAAATTTCAAGTTACCTTCAAAGGCTTTCTGGGCTCTCTCGGGATCATCCTGATTTTTATCTGGATGAACCAGAATTGATAACTGGAAGAAAAGCAAACCATTTAGGGAACTTGTTACATTTCAGTGAAGTAGCCGTCTACATTTTTCACTCAGCATTGATTTCATTTGAGGCTCTTAAAGTTCCTGTATGATTTATTATAGATTTAAATGTTCCTGAAATCGAACGTAGAGAAAATTCCTTTTCCATTTACAATTTTTAACTCAAACACACAAGTATAGTTGTAGTTAAGAGCCGCAAGATTTATTAGACATCAGGTTTCTATTTATAGATTTTTACATAAAAGGGAATTGCAGTGTTTCCATTCACTGCAGATTTCTGTCTGCTCCAACACAACTTTCATGCTTTGAAAGCTGCCAAGTTAATCCTTTGTGAATCAGTTACTAATTCTAGGACCCACAGATAGCCGTACCAGTTATCTGGCCCATAAAAAAGGACTCGACTTGAGTAAAAGGAAAATAGAATGTATTGTCAGTGAATGCGGATTTTGAACTATTATTGTAATGTTTTCTTAAGAGTTATTTATGTACCTTTTACATCTTTAAAATGTTTGCTGGTCGATTATATGGTTATTGTACTAAATGTTGAGTTTTATATATTAGCAGCTATAAAAAAATCAAATACTGAAATTGAACAATGCAAGTCTCGGTCAGCTGACCGAGACTTGCATTGGAAGTAGGGATGCACCAATATATCAGCCGCCGAAACATATCGTCCGAAAGTGCCATTTTTCTGCGGAAATAGCGGCGCATCCCTCCTTTTTCTCCTCCCTGCTGGGCGCTGAGAAACGGTCACAGGCGGCCGAGCGCTGCGGAAGGAGAGCCCTGTGAGCGGCCGGCGGCCCTCCTCCCCGCACCGTTCAGCCTCCTGTCATAGATTAGCAGAGCGGTGTGTTGGCGCTGGGAGCTAGCACTGTCACCGGAGGCCGGCCGTGCGGGGGAGGAGTAAGCTGTCAGATCAAGCTCTCCTCCCCGCACCGCTCGCTCAGCCTCCTGTGACAGCGTGTCAGGAAGGAGAGCGAGGTACAAACACTCAGCCAAAATTGCCTACCTAACCCATATCTCTCAGTTTTATGCAATTATGTTTAACCTTTTGTTTCGTACCCTCACACAGGGACTTATCAATCACCTCATATTAGGCAATGTTAAAATACTAAAATTTACAGCTACCTGACGGAATCTCCTCTTTAGTTCCTCATCGGTAGCCTCTGGGTCGATCTGGAGAACCTATAAAAAAATTCAATATAACCCACAGTTAAATTAGAATGATTGCAAATATTGCTGATTATAAATTTCAAGCATAAATAAAAACGTATATTTTGATAGCAAGCTGAAAAGAAAAACATTAGTGTTATTAGGTGTTATTGGATATCAGTTTAAAACACCGGGAATAGTTTATTTGTGCTTGACTAGCTTAGAGATCTTTAGGAATCATTCAGAGCCATGAGAAGTGGGCATACCACTACCATAACAACTACATAGGCCAAACAGAGTCTAACCACTTCAGCTCTCACACGTGTAGGCCCACTAAGGATTATGAGTAATTTTTTACACTGCTTTGGGCTTGTTTGTTCAGCAATAACTGCCTGCTCTTGCACGCAGATTGTCTGCTCCATGTATGTGCATCCATACCTGTAAGGTTTAAGTTCAGGTCAGCATGTAGATGTGTCCTGTCACATGTACAGGCTGCACGCAGCTACATGAGGCACCTGTCCCTCCCCAGCGCAGGTTTCTGCATGGACGAGCACACTGTACAGCTGTGCAAGTCTGTGTAAATGAGGTCTTCGGAAAAAACCTATGCTTTAACATTAGCAATGGCCAACGGGTGCGGTGTCCTTCCATGGTTGCAACTGAAATGCAAATGAGCGTTCAATACTCTCAGCAGCCAAAACTCAGTTATTGCAAGATTGATTTCCTGTTCAGAAAACGAATTGCCTCTTTGAAGATGATAGTCCAGATATTCCACATTTGAGATCCCCACAGATGTAATAGTGCTAGAGCCATGGCCAGTACTTTGGTGATCACCCGATTGGGTAATGCTAAACCAAAAAGGAAGTGCCATACATTGGTAATGTTCCTCCCCCCACTGTGAAGCAGAAAAACTGCTGTTGACTGTGACAGATGGGCACATGGAGATATTGGTTATTGAGGCAAGAAGGGGTTATTAATGCAGAGGAAAACCTCTCAGTGTACTTGGTGGATTCAGACTGCCTGGGAAACTTGACGTCCAAGGTGATGGAGGACTTGGTGGGCTTAGTACCCTTGTCAGAAGAGACTTCTGAGCAAAAAAGATTGCCGACACAAAAAGGAAGGACCAGATTTCCAAAGTCACTTCTTAGATTTCTTGACCTGAGGAAGAAAGGTGCCTTTTCCTCCTTTAAGATTTTTGATCTCATCATCCATAGCTGCTCCAAAAACAGTCCCCCATAAAAGACATTTGATCAGCTGACCAGCACTTAAGCCATAGCAGTCTGCAGGTAACCACGGCAGAGACCGACAGTTTGTAAACCAAAGGTCAGGCATTCAGAGCTACCTAGTAAACATACTTCAGACCCTGAGCCAGCTGTTTCGCCTAGCCGACAAAAGTAGGAGAGACCTGCTCGTTGGCAAGACCCTGGTGCACCACTTTTATCCATGCAGTGAACATCTGATAGACCAATACAGAAGCCAAAACTGGCCAAAGCAAAACTCCGACTATGTACAAAATCCTTTTTCAATGCCTCAGGCTTTCTGTCTGAGCTCCTTGAAAGATGGCGATTCCTCCACCGGAATTGACATGGCCTTAATGAGATGATAAACTGGAAGATCCACTGCAGGAGGTGAGGACAACTTTCAGGAAAGCTTCCTCAAAAGGGTAGCAAACGGAAAAACATTTAGGGATTATGAAAGTCTAAATTGGTAATTTCAACTCCTTACAGGTAGTCATCAAAGAAAGTAGTATGGGAAGAATTTAGTAGCACGCCTAGGTTTGTGGAATTTCTTCTTCCTGTTTTCTTCTTTGAAATTCTTCCATATGTATTACTGTTAAAGGCATGAGAAAACAATAATTGCCAAGGGGCAGATCCAAAGTCTGAAAATGGGAATGCTGGACATGAAGTCATAGGTAGCAGAAGAAAAAATCATTTTGGGGATTTTTTTAAACTTTCTGCATTCTATGTGTTAATAGGATCTCTCAAGCAATAATAGTTTGCTTGATTTGTAAAGGGAATGGGAGTCATGGAATATCCAAGCGATTGTAAGCTCTGATATTTGGTGAAGTAATGCCTTTGGATAAAATAGTCAGTTGCACCTTTAAACGGGACAATCCTCCTTTCAGTCGATATATTTTTTTTCATCAAATGAAAACATTTCAACTTACAATATACTTGAGTAATAAAACTACCACTTAGGAGTGATTTCAACTTCTATCCAGTTACTATGTACAAAGAGCTACGGTCACTGAAGCTTTGGATATTACATACATATATTTTATACAACAATGTGCACTGGCTAAGTGGTTTAACTGCTGTTTTTCTTTTTTACACCAGAGATCTCAATTCAGTTTCTTCAAGAGCACACACTGCAAGTGGGAGTTTTGGGAGTGGGTCTTAGGAGTGTGGTAGGGACTTTGATTGTTTAAGTATGGAGACTGCACTGCTGGTCCTCCAATCTGAAAAAAAGAATTACGCTGTCATGTCAATCCAACAGCTTTGCTGCTTTCAGAGTACTGAACTGAAACAAATATGCACTTTGCCCATTGTATGCAAGACCTAAAATGGCCAGGCAACTAGCACTTTTATAAGGTCTGCGAAGATAATCTATTTATTGATAAAATAACAGTATGGTTTTGTAGTCTTTGCTGCTAAAGAGCGTTAAGCCCATCTCAAGTGGGGAAAAAAGAAATGCAGAGGTACTGCCCCTGCACTGCAAAGATTAAATGTTCATTTAGGTCTAAGGTACTGGGTAAAGCAGTTTTACGTAAATTACCCCCACTCTCCCGGTAGTCGGCTGTCTCCTTATCTCACCTACATGCCGACTGCCCTTTGGCATCCTCACTTGTAATGCACGGCTATGGGCACTGCATTGTACTTGATGTCAGCAGGTGTACAACTGCCAGAGTGTAGGGTGAAAAGGTAGGTGCCGGTTTTAGAGCCTGCGGGAGCGGGGATCAGGTCAGATTCCCTCAGTTTTAAAGCTCAAGTGTGGGCAAAGACTTTTTTGGGGGGGCATCAGCTAGGAACTAATAAGGTTCCTCTAATGGCTGCTGCTTCTTTCTTAAAAAAAATACCAACATGCAGCCCTTTATGGTGACGTCACTGCTGAAGTTGCGACAGCCAGGGCTGGAGCACAGCAATCATAGCAGGTTACTCGTTGAGCGGCTCCTCTATTCTGAAAATGCTGTGTATTCTTTTCAAAGGCGGCAGTCTTTGTTTGGACAATGGACATATAAACATCACAATGTGCCCTTGTTCAATCACAACTGTGGTACAACAAACGAAGCAGCTGCTACCAGTCGGCCACACAACATTAGAGGTACATAAATGGTACCTAGCTAGTGCCCTAATAAAGTTTTTTTCCCACACTTTTTTTTAAAAGAAATATAGATTTTATGTTTGCTTTCTAGTTTCCCGACTAAGCCAACGGAAAAAAGTCCTACGACTGTGAGGAAAAATTATGTGAAAAGTCTAGGGGACTGCATTGTAATCCTAACTGGGTATTATCTTGGTTGAGGAGCTTTTGCTTAGTTTAGGAATGCACCAATACCGGTATCGAGTACCGATTTTTTTTTCAGGTACTCGCCGATACCGGATACCGAGTAACGGAAGTCCCATTCAGGAAGCCAGGTGGCGTGTAATGACTCGACACCTGGCTTCCCGATTAGCCAGGTGGCCTGTAAAGACTCGCCACCCGGCTTCCCGATTAGCAGGGAAACCGTCCTCATGCTTGTCGTCACTAGGTGACGAGAAACCATGGAACCGGCTTTCTGGCCAATGAGGAAGCCAGGCACCGTGTAATGACGCGACGCCCATTGGCCATTTTGAATATGTATGGATGTTTCCTTGACATACAAAAATCTTGCCTTCATTTTCTAACAAGCGCTTTCTTTTAACCCATGGACTGCAATCGGTTAAATTTGATCAAGATATTGTATTACAAATTATTGTGGGGTACAACAGCAGTAACTAGCAGGGAGTAATGAGAATTGTAGTTCCTGTTAAGCTCTACAGGTTCTCGATCACTGACGTAGGCATAGAAACATACTTGTTAATTTAAAAACAAAAAAAACTACGCAAGATTTGGGATACCTCAAAAGGATTCAAATTGAAATACGAGGACCCAGATCTGGTCAGCCTCTCTATCTGCTGCTTCGGCGTAAGAACAGAGTCCCTCTTCTCGATCTGTTTAACCTGTGCACATACAAATGAAAAAAAACAATACATTAAACAGTGAAAAGGAGACATTATCCAAAAGCTGTTTTAAGCATGGTCGCAGCCTCAGAGGAGCTTAACATTAAATTTCACCTAACTGTTGAGGCTCTTAACAGTGAGGTCCCCAAAGGTAAGAAGTCCTTAAAGGACAACTTCACTTTTAGTGTAGTCATTGTTTAAATTAGCCTCCCACCCCCAATCAGCAGTAACCTACCTACATACTTACCTTCAGCTCCACTTCAGAGATCTGCCCTAAGCAGTCTCAGGCCTTGCACAAAGCAAATCATGGCCAAGCCCAGCTCCTACGTCACATGCACGCTGCTCGACCTTATTGATTCCTGCGGCTGGAATTTACTAATAGCGGTTCCCAACCATTCAGGGGTCAAATTTAGCCACAGGAATGCATGGGCCAAGCATAATCGGTAGGAGCTGGAAGCTGCCTGGACATTTATCTGCAAATGTTGTGCATGCAGGACAGGGCTGCACAGTGAAGAACTTGGGAGCAGGGTTGAAGGTAGGTATTAAGGCATATAA